ATAATAATAATAATAATAATAATAATAATAATAATAATAATAATAATAATAATAATAATAATAATAATAATAATAATGTTCCAATGTAACCAAATTCAAGTTATTTTTTGGATATGCTTTTTTTTCTTTTCTATTTTTGTTAACTTTTTTACCGGATGTATAGTTAAGTTATAGTTTTTTTTGTTAATAATAATAATAATTATGCGTAACCAAATTGATTTACATACTTCATTAACAATATTTATTTTATACCATACTTTTAAGTAATAATTTTCATGTTTACTATTGTTGCATTTTTAAATTAGCTAATTTCGAATTTAACAAAACGCCAAGATATATGGTATGGTATTGTATGACATTGTACACAATACAACATAAACCTCAATTGACATATAAAACACACCCAAGCTTATTTCAGAAAACACGTGCAATATGTCTGCCACATTTAAAAATGTAGGTACACACCCAATGTTCAATTTCCTCTCTTTTTTCGAGCTGCCATACTTCGTTCATCAGCCTGGTAGTCCTGAACTAATTGGTCCAGTTTGCGAGAGTTACGTCGAGCTCTGGCGAGGTCTTCGCCAGGATCTGAGAAAAGCCGTAGGGGTTCTAAAATTATTTTCAAGGTTTTCCAAAGAGGCTCAGGATTGTTACAGTAATGGTGCGCTAATGGCCAAAACCGTAAAAAATGAAAAAAAAAACTTCTACGAAGATTGATACAGAGATTATATTTTATTTAAAAAAACCTTAGTTGGAAATTGATATTAAAACATTTTTGTTACAAGAAAAAGAACATAATATATTAAGAAAAAAAATTGTTACTAATTATAGTTACTAATAAAATTAATTCTTTTACAATAAATTAACAATTTTTTTGAAATACCTCAAATGCTTCCTCTCGATCGTCCTCGTCAAGATAGACGGTTTTTGCGTGTATGTCGAAAACACCATTTACACATTATAGAAAGAATTTAAATGTCCGATACCTGTCTTTCAAAACCACAAACGTGACATAACATTCTTTATAAGTCATATTTGGATCGATTTCAGCCAAACAACTATGGTAGATTTTCTCAAATGTCATGTCTACTTCAGCCTCGCTAGTCATCCCTTCAGACTTGATAAAATGAAGAAGGATGGTACAAAATATTTCTTCAGCTGCAGGAAGCCATTTGTTTGAAAACCCTTCTCGTATAAATTGGAAATGTTCATCCTTTGTTTTCGCAATGCAAAATTCCACATGATTGTAAATAAATATGAGAATATGTCATGGTGTAGTGGCATTTGAAGGAAAAAGAAGTTGGTAGATATAGGCCAAACTTGAAGGTGATAATTGATGTACAAAAAAATATTGGCCCCAATAATATTAAAAAAATATTTTACATGTCAACTTGTGACAACTATGAGAATCCACTAGACTAAAAAAGTTTGATTGTACTTGCCTAATAAAATTTGCAACAATTATATATTTGATTTCACTTAAAATTTGAGAAAATAATATATTTTACACAAAATTAGTTTAAAACAAACTTGTATGTCAATTACTAAACAAACTTATAGAACTAAAATTCAAAAGAGGGCCTATTGAAGTGTCGGCAAGCGCACGGTGGTGCTCTACCCCCAAAAAATCCCAAATCCCTAGTTTTCCCGTCGATAATTTCTCGTTGCCTTCCTTGGTAGGAGCTCGGCGAGCGCACGGTGGTGCTCTACTGGGCCTCGTGACCCGTTTCTGAGAGTCGCGTCGCAAGGAGGAGGGCTTTTTCGCCGGGGAGATGGCCGTGCCCGTTTTCCGGTTTTCACCTCTGGTGCTGGGAGTGAGTGGCGGGTGGCTAGTTCTCCTCCGGTATCTCCGCAACGGCGGTCCTCCGGCGCTCTCTTGGAGGGGGTTGCGACCCCAATTTACCCATCTAGGGTTTGGAGTGGAGTCGGCTCTCCGACCAATTCTGTTCTTCTTGGTCCTGGTGCAGGGCTTCGGTGCTGCGGACAATGGAAATCGATGGGCTGGGTTGCTATGCTCGTGGCTCAGGCCATCGTTGTTGATCAGTTGCAGCGAGATTCGTTGGGTGTGTTTAGTCTCC